TTTTTTTTTTTTTTCTGCTGGGCATTGTATAGGTCAGGCATTCAAATGCCACAATTCCTTTACTTATTCCTCGAATATGAGACAAAAAGAAGGAAGTATTGCTTTGCCATACTGGTCTAATAACAGTTTCTTTCTTCAAAAATGTTTGTGAAATCAATTTCGGCAGCTACAGCAGATACTGACATCTCAGAAAATATATCATTAGCTTTTCTTGATTTTCCTGATAGTACAAAGGAGGAAATAGCAAGTTTAGAGACGTAGTATTCAAATTCATTACATTGATGGAAACAAATATTGCCGGTATTTGTAAGTAGGAGAGCATCTTTCGCATTTAATAGGTCAAGAGATAACGTTAATATAAATTTTTAAACATTTTAAGAATTAACAAAGACTTAAGCTTTTTCAGTATTTTTCGTTATGTATCTCTTTTGGTTGAAATAAAGTTCCTGTCGTCTAATTTTCTTTCTGAAATCACCTAATTGCACCGTCACATTAATTAAAATTATGTAAGCATGATCTTCATTTTCATTTACGAACTTCATTTATGACTAGAAAGAGCTGCTACTTAGTTGTTGTTTTTAGGTTATTTTTGGCAAAGAGTTTGGAAGGATATTATCTTTTTAAAGCTTCATTAAGCGTAAAATAGTACATTTTTTGAAGCTTGCTAAATGTTGAATTGGTCGTCTTTGACGTTCCGTAGTTCTATTTTCATGCTACTTGATAAAACGATAGGGTTTGAGAGGTGAAGCTTTGTCGAAATGACTTTTCAAATAGCTCATTTTGCAAGTACTGAAATTAAATGAAGATTTTACAAATTGTGGAACACAGGGCAGTTTCCTTTCTACTTCAACAGTTGTGTTTGTCTTATTTTTTATCTTTTAAGTTCCGTCATTTCTAAGAGCCTCATGTTTTCTTTTTATGTGTAGTGATGAGGCAAATTTGTGAGTGACTTCTTTTTCTAAAGTATATTTAAGTTAATATTCTTTAAAATTAAGGTAAGGAAGGGGATCTTGGAACGCTTGTTTATGCTTTATGTAGCAAATCCCTTGGGAAAAACTTTTTTATGGACATTTATAAAGTTTTTACTAATTTAGTTTTAAAGCTAGCTTGCAGGAGTCAGTTTTGGTGTTTTTCGATAAGAATTGAATTAACTTTCTGGTTAACTAGTAAATTTCACATGTGAAAACTTGATGACTTTTAGATCTAACGTGAATCATTATGGCTCTTCTTGATATCGATGCTACAACACCCCATTCTCTAACAGGCTCCATTGTCTCCATCCCTGAGTACAGGATAAGCACATGTGGGAAGTTTGCAGTAAGTCTTAGGAATGATTATTCTCATTTATTTTGTTTTTCTGGTGTTTTACTGATAATTTCTTAGTCGCTTTCTAGCGGAAAATGGGGGTGAAGCTTCAGTGTCTTGTTGAGGATGATCATTTTTTTAGAAATATGTTATCAAGGTCAGCATTGAACCTTACTCTTGGACAGTAGAAAGAAGATACCGTGATTTTGCTGCATTTGATGAACAAAGGTTCAAAGACAGGAACAAATCGTTTTTGCCCCCGAAGAAGTTTGTTAGGAATATGGTATGCCTTTGCTTTTGACAATATGGGCTCCATCTCTCGGGCGCAGTTCTGGGGTTCATTAATTGAGCAGGCATTTGGTTTATTAGATGTTTTTGATTATCTTAAAATTATAGCTACTAATAGGCCTTTTATTGATGCCTGCAGAAAAGGATGTGTGTCTAACTACTGAGCCATTTTATGTTATACCGTACATTTTTTTTTCTCAAATTAATTTTATTTACTTTTACGCTTTAGCCTTCCCGAAAAAACTGTTTCTTAATTCATTTTTATTTTTTTCTTCTGGGTTGCTTAACTTGCTTTACTGTTGTTGTTAGGTCATTTGCAGGACCCAGAATTTCTTTGCGAAAGACGTATGGAGCTTGAAAAATATATTCAGGCCGTAATGGAACTTGAGTTGTGGTTGCTTAAAAAACGCCAACAGCATGCATTGTCAAAACTCTTAGCGTACTTCCTCGATTTCCAAGAATACGTAGGTTTTTTTACCATTCTAGTATTCAAGTTTTTGGGTTCCAAAGTTTAGTTTAGTCTTCTTCTTCCATACGTTCGCACCCATCAGGTAGTTGTTCAACTTTGGGTCTCGAATATTCTCATCGAACGATTTATTTTCGAAACTCTTAACGCTTCTTGATGAAGATTAATATTAGTTTATTTCATCTTATTGTTAGTAATAGTTTTCTGCAAAGCTTTGAATTTTTTTGGAAAACGTTTATAATTTTTATAAAGTGACAATATACATAGTTTAACAAAATTTATGGACATTAGTACAAAGTGGAGAAGAAGTGGGAATTTTCAACGGAGAAACAAATGTTTTTCGCTGAATTATCAAAGGTCATTTTTCATTACTTTCGTACTGCTTGATTTGTCCTTCTTCTCCGTGATTGATGGTTGATATGGCTTGAAGAGTCAAAATAAAAAAACGGAAGACAGGAAGGAGACAGACAATATCAGTGGGGGGATTTGTTTTGGCAAGAGGGACTCTGTATGCGTTACATCTTTAGCAAGTGTTATTAATTTTCTGCATTTAAGTTGCTAGTTTATTGTTGCACTGCTGGAAATTCATGTGAAAGATCCTGTTGCGTGGCTAGTTTTTTGTAATGGCTTTTATGACGCCAGTATTGGATCCTAAGCCACACTTCTCGAACAGCTAAATAGATAAAGGCAATATTTTTTGCTACAAATATGCTGACTCCGTAATTCTTGTTAAGCGACGGTAATTTCAGCAACAAGTAGAGGTAGATTCTAATGCCAAGATAAGGTCCGTTTACCTGAAGAACATTTGTATTTTTATCATTGTTTAGGCATAAATTATAAGATACTCATCAAAGGCCGCAAAAATCATTGTAAATAACTATTTAATCGTTTTAGGTACTTACTATGAGCACGTAAATCAGCGACCATATCTTATCACTGAGCAGGAATTTTCGGGGCAGTTTTCTGAATCTTAAGCGTAAAAGCGCGAATGTAGGCATAATTAGGTTTAGACACGCTAGAGATAGGATTGATATTGATAGCCACATTGGCAGATTCCACTGATAAATCTAAACGATTTAACTTTTTTCCTTATCGTGGAGATAAGTCAAAGTTTGTTTTGAAAGTGAATTAAAACAAGCCAGATGCAAAGAGAGGATTAACCTCAGCTTCTCCCAAAAGGTCTAAAAATAGTATTGTATCAATCAAATCCACGGTGATGGCAGTTGCTAGGTAGACGATGTAAAGTTGGCGATTGCTGACAAGAGGAGTGTAATGGTTGGCTTCCAGGTAGAATACAAAAATCAGTACACTAGCAGATAGTCCTAGACGTAGAAGATGTTCGTCGAAAAATTCATCCACGAATTTCTTTTCAAGCAGCTGAAACTAGAAGTTTTATATTAAGTTTAATATGTCGTCTTCCGAACAACGTTCAGGATTTGTTAGATTTTGGTTCCCATGAAATGATATAATTTTTTACCGTAATTGTTTTATAAGGTGAAATTGAGTGTTATTTTAACAGGTAAAAAGAAACCGCTATTTCACTTACAGATTTGTAGTAGAGTCTGAAGAAGACTACAATTTTTGCTACCAGAACTGCCGAGTAGGTAAACCATCCAAGACAGGCGTATTTTATTTTGGCATCTGAATATTTTTCAAATTTTCAGAGTTGAAAAAAAATGAAAAATGTGATGGCAGATCTTATAGCATCTAAGGGAATCCAGATTTTTTTATTCAATTACAAGAACTGCTAAGTTAGTTGCTTTACGTTGTTTTGTAGTTAGAAGTTGAAATTTCACCTAAAGAACGCTCGTTGTGCATTCTTTTTTGATTATTTCGCATTGATAGCACAGTTAACCATGTTAGCGTGAAAACAACGAATGTATCAGCTGCCAGCCAAGACCACCACATAGAATCCTTAAGGTACTTAATGTAGTAGTAGTCAATTAGTCCAAGTTGCGCCACAACCAACAAGAGACAAATGATCAGAGCGAATGCGTCGATTACGCCTCGGACAAATTGCCCTGTAAAAAAGGAATGTAATTTATTTTAGTTTTTCTGGAATGTTGTAGTTGGTTAGGAGCTGAAGGGTGATTCTGGTAGATGCAAGCAGAGAGACTTCCATTTAGATCCATCGGAAAAATGCTCTCAGTACTTTGCTTTGCTCCCACAATATTGGCTGATAAAATTATTTTAAAAAACCTGGTATTAGTGCCATAGCAGAGCAGGAGTGCCGTTTTTGTTTCTTGATTTTGATTTTTGGTGCCTTTTCTTCTTTCCCGTTCACTTCTGTGTCAGTTATTTCTTCATCTTTGCCGTAGAAATTTTCATGCTTTATACATTCGTGAGCGTTTTCCTCTACAACCTCTTCAATAAGTTGACGTTGTTCTCCATTAGCAGTACATTCTTCAAGCGACCGACCTAAACGTATCTGATTTACCTCATTAATTTATACCACCTTGCTTGTCTGATATTGACTTAGTAGAGCTTCGTTTTTCTTTTGTAAATATCTCGCAGCTCAATCATTACTGAAGTAGTTACCCGTAGTGCTATCCTTATGACAAACAGAACAATGAAGAGAAATGAATAAGCTTTTGACAAATAATTTTGCGTTTTTTTTTTCGTTAACAAGAAGTGCAGATTTTGGTCTTTTTCGAGAAGATTATCTTTCAACATTTACCGGCTTTTTAAAACTTTTTTAAAAAAGTAGTGATGATTAAAATGGGAAGTTTTGGTTGCGCGAAGGGAACAAATTTTTATTTCTCATGTATGTTTTTGTCATTTACGAAAGATTAGTTACGTATAGCTCTGTTATAGCTCTTTGTTTCTTTTTTAATAAGGGAAATAAATGTGGCAACAATAAATCATGTTTAAAAATTTGCTGCTAGTCAGTGCCAATTTTTTTTTTCTAGTTATTCTGATGATTTTTTTTAAAGTTTATTTGCGCTGGAAAATTAACAGCAGTCAATAATGGCAACATTTTTTGTCTGTTCCTCAAATCCCTCTACTATATATTTTTTGTTTACAGTCTTAAGAGTTTTCTATCAATGGTATAGCAGGCGTCCAATAATGGTGCATTCTAGTTGTTGAATGTATATATGTATAATTTTATTCAATTTGTCCTCCACTAATGCTTCAAATAGAAAAGTGAAGATTTTTACAAATTGTAAATTTATCCGTCAATGTAATTCAAAAAATTTCTTAAAGACGTATTTTATTATTCAATCTTTAATAATTTTCCGGGAAATTCGAGAGGCAAGAAAAGCCAACGAAGCATCAAAAGAAAAATTTTTTGTTTAATTAATGTAAACACTCGGGGCAAAACAATGTTAGTTGGAAGAAGTTTCAAAGAAGAGGCACATCTACAAAGACAGAAAAAAGTATTTGGTAGCAGAGACTGCGTGTGAAGCCTTAAAATAGTTCATTGATTTATTACTGAATGAGTAACGAGAAAGTTGTTGAAATTATTGTTAGCTTAAGGTTGTGTAACAAGGAGGTGGGGGCGGGGGAAGTACGAAAGAGAAAAATGGGGCGGCAGAGGAACAGAAGAAAAAAAAGGAGAGAGATAATTGAATTTTCTGTAGTTCATTCATCATCGTATGAGGAGCCTACTGTTGCAATTGAGGCAATAATGCTTCATTCT